AGCTGGTCTCCCTTCCTTACCTACGTTGCCCTCTTCTGCCCTTTTCTTGTCCCGAGGCAGGTCTGTGTGTGGCTCTCTCTAAACTCCGCTGGAGGGACAAAAGATGAAGTAAGACGAGAAAGTTTGGGGCACGGTGAACTGGAATGATAAGTACATTTTCTATGAAATAGTTGTTATTGGGCTATCATTGGTTCACCATAACGTGTTTGTTGAATGAATAAATGACAGAAAATTTCACTTGATCTACGCAAGGCAGAAAGGGGAGGGATGGAGAGGCTTCCAGGCAGAAGCGGGGAAGATGGGGTTCTTTTAATAATTCTTCCCTGCGAAGCCTCTCAATCTGTCATCTCCAGCCTGACAGCAGCCTACACGCTCGGGCCCCGCCCTCTCCGGCTCAGTTCCACCATACAGATTCCGGGGTCCCCGCAGCCACGCCCCTTCCGCTTCCGGTTTCTGGCCAGTCAATCGTCCCGCACCGCGATTCCAGAGCCGCCGGGTCTGGGTTCCGGGTTCGTTGCCTCGGTTTCCGGACCCGGCTGGTCTTCTGGGCCGCCCGGCCGCGCGCAGCACCTGTCCTGCGCCGGGGCTCACCGGGCCAGCCCCGCGGGCTCCGTCGCTCCCCGCCGGGGCTGGTCTCCGGTCCCGGTCCCGGTCCCGGCCCGCTCGCCCCAGACCCGACCCGAACCGCCGGGTTCCTCGCCATCCCATGGAGTCCCAGTGCGACTACTCGATGTACTTCCCGGCGGTGCCGCTGCCGCCGCGCGCGGAGCTGGCGGGGGACCCGGGCCGGTACCGGGCGCTTCCCCGGCGCAATCATCTGTACTTGGGGGAGACGGTCCGCTTTCTGCTCGTGCTGCGCTGCCGGGGCGGCGCGGGGTCCGGCGCGGGGGGCGGCCAGGGCTTGGGCTCCCGAGGGGCCTGGGCGGAGCTGGCCACCGCCTTGGCCGCGCTGGCCTCTGTCAGCGCCGGAGGTGGGCTGCCGGCGGGCGGTGGCGCGAGCGACCAGGACCCCGAGCCCCCGGGCGGAGTGGACCCGGGGGGCGGGGGCTTGTTCCGCGGCTGCAGCCCTCTTCTTACCCACGGCCCTGGCCCTGCTACCTCAGGGGGAGCGACCACGGTGAGGAGTTGGGGGTCAGCGGCACAGAACTCAGGGGCGGCTTGCTGGGCGCCGGGCGGGGGCACTTTCTGGAGATGAACGCTGGGGGGCCGGGAAGGCAGGAGGCTGATGATGAGAGTTCAGGGCACGAAGGACTATGTATTGCAGACCTTAAAGAGAAGCATGCAAGAGCCGCTCTGTGACACTTTCCTGACCTCTTCACCCTTTCCATAACCTCAGCTGCCTGTGGAAGAACCGATCGTGTCCACAGATGAGGTCATCTTCCCACTCACCGTTTCACTGGACAGACTGCCCCCAGGGACGCCCAAGGCCAAGGTAAGATAGCAAGGGGTGGAGCTCCTGACCTAGTTCAGACACCCTCTGGAGGCCCTGCGGTCTATCTCTACTCTTGATTGTGGTTCCGTGTCTCTTGTACTCAGATTGTAGTGACCGTGTGGAAGCGGGAGGTTGAGGCACCAGAGGTCAGAGATCAAGGCTATCTGCGCTTGCTGCAGACCCGATCTCCTGGGGAAACCTTCCGGGGCGAGCAGAGCGCCTTCAAGGCCCAAGGTGGGGAGGTGCTGCAGAGGGGAAAGGCTAGGGTCGGATTTGGAGGGGCAGAGTGGAGGGGTGATCCTGGGAGAAGAGGACAGTCGGAACCGTGGGCTGGAGGTGAGGTCTGGACCTGCCCAGCCATCCTGCTTCACCCTCCTGCAGTGAGTACCCTGCTGACGCTGCTGCCTCCTCCTGTTCTGAAATGCCGGCAGTTCACTGTGGCTGGAAAACACTTGACTGTTCTTAAGGGTGAGCAGACCTGCGGACGCAGGGCTTGGGTAGCAGCTGGGGAACTGACTGGATGGCAGTGGTTCTGGGCAAGCTGGTGGGGATGGGCAGGACAGAGGTCCGGCTACCCTGAGCTGGGCTGGTTGCCTTCCCCAGTGCTGAACAGCTCCTCCCAGGAGGAGATCTCCATCTGGGATATCCGAATCCTCCCCAACTTCAATGCCAGTTATCTACCTGTCATGCCCGATGGTTCTGTGCTGCTGGTGGACAATGTCTGGTGAGGGCCTGGGGAATGGCAGGGCTGTGAAGTTGTGGACAAGGACAAGGGCGGGGGCAAGGGCTGACTTCTGGCATGGGGTAATCATGCCCTGTCTTGCTCTCTTCTGAACTAGTCACCAGTCGGGTGAAGTCTCCATGGGCTCCTTCTGTCGGCTCCCTAGTACCTCTGGCTGCTTCCCCTGCCCACTTAATGCCCTGGAGGAACACAACTTCTTGTTTCAGCTGAGAGGGGGGGAGCAGCCCCCCCCAGGGGCCAAAGAGGTAAGCACAAAGGGTTGGTGTATTCCAGAATAAGGGGATGAAAAGGAAGTGGGTGGGCTAGGCCAAGAGCCTGACTGAGGATGGCAGGGGAGCTCCAATGCATGTCAAATCTCCCTTTGTCTCACTTGCAGGGCCTCGAAGTTCCCCTGATTGCTGTGGTTCAGTGGTCCACCCCAAAACTGCCCTTCACCCAGAGCATCTACACCCACTACCGGTGAGTGTGTGGGCGCGCCTGCCAGGATCATCCTGCTCACCTCTGTGACCTGAAACACACATTGAGCTTCCTTCTCTCACTGTTCCTAGTCTGCCCAGTGTCCGCCTGGACCGCCCCTGCTTTGTGATGACTGCTTCTTGTGAGTCCCCTGTCCGGACCTATGAGCGGTTCACTGTCACCTACACGCTGCTCAACAATCTCCAAGACTTCCTTGCTGTGAGGCTTGTGTGGACCCCGGAGCATGCACAGGCTGGTGGGTCAGCTGCTAGGCTGAGACCCTGTCCCCCGGGAGGGGTGGGGAACGGGATAAGTAACAAGGTGGGACAGTGATAGCAGTTCAGATCTGGTACCAGCCCCACCACAGTGGGTGACATGTGGCATCTGGCTCTGGCTTTATACCTGGGTGATACCCCCAGAGACACATCCAGAGTTTTGTGATACAGTGGGGCTGAGTGACTTGAAGGGCATAGATACCAGAGCTGCTTCTCATTTATGAGCTCTGAGACCTTGGGTAAGCTAGTTAACCTCTCTGGGCCTTGATCTCTGTCTTAAAAATAATAATACTTCATGAGTTCGCAGATGAATGAGTTAAGACAGGCAATGTGGTTAGAAGAGACCTCAGCACACAGAATAGTTTCCCATAACCCTCCACAAATCATCACGTTTACTCAGTTTACTCTGTGGCATGGCTTTGTGACCCAAATGTGCCCATGCTGGTTATAGCTCTGAGGACTGAGGAAGGCTGTCCACGGCTCATCGGTGCCTGTTTCTGCCCCCAGGAAAGCAGCTGTGTGAGGAGGAGCGCCGGGCCATGCAGGCAGCCCTGGACTCCATCGTCTGCCACACGCCCCTCAACAATCTTGGCTTTTCACGGAAGGGCAGTGCACTTACCTTCAGCGTGGCCTTCCAGGCTCTGAGGTCGGGGCTTTTTGAGGTGGGCCAGTGCTGCAGGACATGGGGTGAAGTGTTAGGGCTTCCCATGGAGGGAAGATGTGTAATGGGTGGTGCCGGAAAGCTGGGCAGAGGAAAGATAATGCTCTTGAAGGTCTGGCCGGAATTGCTGATGCGCGTCTCCTGCTGCAGCTGAGCCAGCACATGAAGCTGAAGCTGCAGTTCACTGCCAGTGTGTCCCACCCTCCGCCCGAGGCCCGGCCCCTCTCTCGAAAGAGCAGCCCTAGCAGCCCTGCTGTCCGGGACCTGGTGGAGAGGCATCAGGCCAGCCTGGGCCGCTCTCAGTCCTTCTCCCACCAACAGCCTTCCCGCAGCCACCTCATGAGGTAGGAGCCTGGGCAGGCATCCCCCTGGCCGGGCAGAAGCTGGAGCCAGGAGTGGGGAGAGGGGCCGTGTCTGAGTGGAGCCCACAGCCTCTGCCCTCCCCCAGGTCTGGCAGTGTGATGGAGCGCAGGGCCATCACGCCCCCCGTAGCCTCTCCTGTCGGCCGGCCCCTCTATCTGCCTCCAGACAAGGCTGTGCTGTCTCTGGACAAGATTGCCAAGCGCGAGTGCAAAGTCCTGGTGGTGGAGCCCGTCAAGTAGCACTGTGCTGCTCTGCTCCCCATTCGCTCCAGGAACCCGAAGCCCCTGGTGGGCTTCTTGCTCCCAGGCTGTGCCTCTCCCGCGACACCCCCTGCTGTGGGTGAAGAGGCCCAGTAGGGCCGCCTGTCTGTGTTTGCTGATGAGGGACAAGGGTACAAACTGTGAAATGGGTGGTACGGCTGCAGTGCTAGGCCAACAGTATTTCCGAGTTCCTTTGGGGGGGCTGGCCCCACCCCAGGCAAGGCAAGGGCTCCAAGAGCTCCCTCGCCCCCACCCTGTCCCTTGTAAGTTTACAGAGTATTTTCCTCTTTCTTGTTATGTTCTGTCTGCCTCTGATATTCCCTCCCACCTGCCCGCAGTGCTGAGATTAGAGGGTGGGGATGTAAAGGGACCTTGACAATGACACTCCTGTCTCAGGGGTTGGGAGATAGCTAAGTGGCCTCCTTCTGCCCCTCATGTTTACGTTGGTGGCCTGAAGCACTTTAAGTTGTGTCTTTTTTTGGGGGGGGGGTGCCTCTGTTCCTGTAACTTATTCTTCAACTACAGCTTCCAACTGAAATAAGACTATTAAATGCCTATTCAGGAGGGAGACGGATGGCTGTTGTTTGTGTTGATGGAAGGACCTAACCACAGCAGCTCAGAAGTTCACCTCTGCATGCACACGAACAGCTCCCTTCCTGGCCCTGTTTTTCCCCTTTCCCTGTTTTATAATTGTGGTGGCCCTGCACCACACATCCTGTGTTAAAGTATACACTTTCCATAGAGATTGGAACAGGAAATGTGCTCCCTCCCAGCACAGCCCTTCCTCTGTACAAAAATCCCTGAGCCTGGGTCACATGAGATTTTTGTTTATTGAGGGGAGGAGGAAGAAAAGAAGGGAACTGCCTTGTTCACGTTTCTCTTAATATAGCGCAAAATCCCCGAGTCTCTACCCTTCAGGTATAGGTGGACAATGGGAAGGCCCTGGTTCCAGCAGCTGGCCAAGCAAAGGTGGGGGACACGTGCTCTTCCTCATCACAGAGACCCAGGGACTGCTCCAGCCTGGCCTTCTGGCATGCTCAGACGTCAATGGGTTCCCGGCCTCGGTTCTGCCTCTTCACCACAAACACCCTCTGTCCTGACACAGTCACCAGCAGCGTGTGTTCTCCAAAGACCACTGGAAGGGAGACGCACCTTCCCCCACCAAGGAAAGGGAAGGGAGCACACAGTTAGGGGGTTTGAGAGCCTCTACAGGGTCGAGCAAATTGGCTGGATCAACAGCCAAAACTGTCCAAGGCTGAGAGAGCAGAAGAGGCCACTGTGAAATCCCCTTACTCAGTTCTGACACAAATGGAGGACAGTGGCTGAAGCGAGATACTTGGTGAAGAAGGCAGGTATTTGTTTCTTCCCTAAAAAGAGAAGCCTCTGGAAGCACCCCCACCACCATGGGCACGGACGGGGGCTCACCAGACAGGCGCTTGAAGGGGACATTCATGCCATGGTGCAGCCGGAAGCCACACGCTGTGCTGACCAGCTCAGAGATGGCACTGGCTGCCTGCTCATCATTCTCGAGATCCCCAGAGGACTGTGGGCACATGGAGGAGGGAAGGTGCAGAAATAAGGGCACAGAACTGGGAAGGAACTCCAGGCATAGGCCCTCTGGTTCACACTTGTAACATGTCCCTCTCCATTTTTCTACTCCTGGGGCACCCAGTTTTGGAAAAACATCTAAAACTTCTCTGTGATGTTTTCACCCTTTCTGCTATCCTGATTCTCATCCTTAAATGTGGGGCTTACCTTACCGAGTTATCTGACTCTGCTGGCTTTTTTTTAATGCCTTGAAACTGGATTTCTTGCCTTGTCCCCTATTAGAAACAAGCAAACGTTCTCCCAAGACCAATGCCTGCCCACCACTGACTCACTAAAGGCTCTGTCCTGTTCTGTCTTCCCACTTGTGCTCCCATTTGTAGAATCTGAACATCTCTGTCCTCAAACCCCTCCCTCTACCTGTCCCTTGGGTAATGATAAGCCAGAGGTCTGCACTTCCTCTTTTCTGGTGACTGTCTCAATTTCCTCTCTCTGATCTCTTCAATGTGGGCCTCTGTACTATGTTAACATTGGTTCCTTTTGCTCTTGGATATTCTGTACTTCAATTTCTTCATTTTGGGTACATCGGTACCTATTCTATGGGCTTGTTGTGATGGTTATTTGAGACAACTGTGGGAAGATACTGAAAACAACGCCTAGCAATTAACTACTGTTTTTCTACTTTAGAGTCATTGTCAAGAGGTGCACTGTCCCACATTCAGATCCCCCTTACCCACCTCCTCTGCAGTCCCTTTTTAAGTTTCCTATTTGTTTATCATTCTTCTAGGCTTCTCAGTTAAAAGTCCTACTGAGGGGAAAATATCCCTATAGAACAGTGGTGACAAACCTATGGCACACATTGTGTTTTTCTTTTAAGATAAAACATATTAACATCAGTTGTTCTTTCTTAAAGACCTCAGTATTCAGTTTTCATTGCAATGTTAGGACTTTCCGATACGTAAGTGGGTTCTGGGTTACAGTGTGGCAGTTTGTATCTAAAAGGTTTACCATTATTGCTATAAAAGATATAAGTACTTATCTCTAGCTATTATCAGGATGTGTATCCTTAAGATCTCTCTCCTTGCTACCAACCCATTCTCATACCTGGAATCCCCTTTCCAGTCTATTTACATCTCAACCATTTCATTGGGTCATGTATGTGTTGACAAACACCTTCAAAGTTCCTGCAACCCTCAAAATGAAATCCACATGTGTCAGCCTGGCCTAGGAAGTGCCCTACAATCAGATCCATTCTTTACCATACCCTCATTCCCAGACTTTTTCAATTTTTTCTATGTGAACTCACCATCAATTCAGACAGGCTCTGTCACTCTCCTGCAAATATATCCACCTCCCAGCCACTCATTTAAACCGGTCATATTTTAAGCTTAGAACTCTGGCCTCCAAGAAAGCTCTCTTGCCAAAAAATAAGTTACAACACTAAGGTTTGAGACTTTCATTTCCTTGACTCCTTTCCCACTTGCACTGCTTTATTTTAAAACAAAATTCTAATTTATTTGTATGTTTATTTATTGAGACAGGTTCACTTTGTAATGCAGACTTGTCTCGTGGCAGTCCCCCTGCCTCAGCCTTCCGAATGGTAGGATTCCTGGCATGCACCCCCAGGTGGCGCACTTGCACTGCTTTAAATCTGCAACCTTAAAGTCCTTCCAGCTGGAGCAAAAACTTATAGAAAGCTACACTGTATAGTACTATGGAACAAAACAAAATCGCTTCGAGAAATATCAAATTCAGACATACTAGAGAAAAACGTGGATATAGGTTATTAACAAAGTCATAACTGATTTTTGTAAAGGTGGTAAATCTCTCATCATATAAGACTAAGATCCCAGAGATTACTGAAAGCTTACTATATGCCTGAAGGATATCAGGTAGAAAGGACAGAGAGATAAGTTGGATAAAACTGACCATATATACACTAAGGGGACCCCTGCCCTTTCCCAGAACGCACCGCCAGGACTGCACCTTCACTCAGCACCAGGTAGCCCAGCTGGTCTGGGATTCGCTCCAGCCCCTGGGTCAGTGCAGAAGTCTAGTGGATAAAGACGCAAGCAGTGAGAAGCAAACTAGAGACAGTCCGCGATATCCTTCACCGGCCAACCCAAGTCTCATGACAGCGGTCCCTTCCAGATCCTCTTCCCCCTACACGACCTTTAATATTGATACTCCAAGGTCTCCTTCTGCCCTAATGTTCGGCTCCCAGCCTCCCGATTCTGCTACCCGGGACACCCTGTTCTCCGATCTCTCGTCCCACCCTAGCCCCCAACACCTCCCAGATTCCTCCTCAGTCCGCTAGGTTGCCGTCCCTCCCATCTCCATTCCTATGCCATCCCGGGGTGGACTGGAACTGAGGCTGGAGCGCAGGCCCAGGAGGTGCCAACCAAAGATCACCGAACAGGGGACTCTGAACCCCCGGAGCGTCCTCCCGCGCATGCGTTCTCACTTACCATCACGGCTTTAGAATCCAGGGGAGCGCCGCACCAAACAGCTAGTTTCCGGCGCCGTGCTCCAGGCTTCCGCGAGCTATCGGCTCCGTTTAACCACGCCCCTAGCATGGCGTTGTGTGATTGGTTACTGTCTTAGTCATTTAATTTAATCAACCAGTGGGAAGCACCACTTCCTGGAGACACGCGCGGATTGGCAGTGTATTCTGTGCCTTAGCGTCAGAGCGGGAGTGGGCGGAGAGGGAGGTCCTGGGTGTGCGGGACTGTGGATGTGTGCCTTCGCCAGCAGGCAGCCTGAGAGTTCCGTGGGAGCTGCCTTGTCCATAGTGAGATCTAAAGCGAGTTCGTTCTTGCATTTTGGATATTCTGAAATGAAACGCCAAGTTTCCATTGCTACTGTTATGTCTACCCAAGGCAGAGCTCTAGTAAGACAAAGATTTGTTTCCAAGTAGTTTTTGTCCTTGGATTTTTGTGATGAACTGTTAAACGACGGTGAATCCGAGCTCCTGGACAGGCTACTTAGCAGCAATACTAATATTCCCTACCAAGAAAAATTAGAAATAATACCTTGGTGTATGTACAATGTCTATACACACACACACACACACACACACACACACACACACACACATATATATAGTTTTAATTTATACAGTCTCTAGACCTATTGCAATATGAATAATTTATGAAGCTGCAGCGGCATTGCTGAAGTAAAGTGAAAAATGATGCTAGAAATTGTTGGTGAAGATGTGGAAAAATGATCCTCATGGGCTGCCAAACAGTGTAGCATTCCTCAATAAATTCAACTTAGTGTTGTCATAGGACTAAGCAGTTTCACTCCTAGGCATAAATTGAAACATGTTCACAGAAAAACATGTATGTGAATGTTTACAGCAGCATTGTTTACAATTGTCAAAAAAGTGAAGCAACTCACACATTAATCAATTGAATGAATAGATAGTATGGTATAGCCACACGGTATAATATTTTTTAGCCTAGGAAAGAATGAAGTACTGACTAAAGCTGCAACAGAGATAAATCCTGAAAACATGGTACTGACTGAATAAGGTCGAATGCATGTGGTCACACACTGTAATTTCATTTAAACAAAATGTCTAGGCAAATTCATAAACAAACTAAACGAGTTAGTGGTTGACAGGGGATTAGGGAGTAAGACATGGGGAGTGACTGTTACACGGGGTTCTTCTGGGGATGTGATGAAACTGTGGGGTTAGTTGGTGATGATTTCACAACCTTGTAAATGTAGCGAAGCCAATGAATTATACAATTTAAAATGGAGAATTTTAAGGTTTGTGAATTATATTTTAATTTAAAAACACGAAGTCCTGTTGCTTGAGGAGAAACAATTAGAAAGTTGGTGCCTTTTAAAACAGAGGTTAGGGTAGGGGATGTACTTACAAAGTGCCTTGTGTTCAGTGCACCGCACCATATGTTTATAATGGAAAATTTAGAGGATATGGAGACAGAAGAGATTGTATAGAGATAATAATGAATGTTTCTGGAATAGAGGGAAGATGGGATCAGAAAGAAAATCAAAGAGCTTAAAATATTTGGTAAACTATTTCTTAAATTCTAAATCTTCCTCTTTTTCTGCATGTGTGTGTCTGTGTGTGTATGCAGGCATGTGCACACATGTGCATACATACAATGTTTTTTTTGTGTGTGGTACTGGGGCTTGAACCCAGGGCCTTCCCACTGATCTACATTCCTAACCCTTTCTTATTTTTTTTTATTTTGAGACAGCATCTCATTAAGTCACTAAATAGCCCAGGCTGAGTTCAGACTTGCCATCCTCCTGCCTCAATCTCCTAGAGTGCTGGAATTATCAATATACACCACTATACCTGACATTAGGCACTGTTTTTAAAACAATAAAGACTTGACCACTTTTAAATCTTAAAAAAGTAGGTGCTATAACCAATCAATTTCACGCCAGCAGAAATATGTACATATATTTGTCTAAAGATATGTCCTGGAATATTCATAGAAGCTTTACTCCTACTAATACAAAGTTAGAAACTACCCAAATTTCCCACCAATGCTTTAATAAATAAATTGTATCATATTCACATCCTGGGACTCTTAGGTCAATGAGAATAAGTGAGATAAGACTACAAAATAGAATGAATGAATCTCGCAAACTTGATGTTGAGGGAAAGAGGTCAGTCACAAGAATACATATTCCAGTCATATAAACTATAAAAGCAGGCAAAATGAATCAAGGAGGTTGGACGTCAGGGTAGTGGTATCCATGGGTAAAGGGTGGGCTGGATAAGAGAGCACTGCTGCGGGTAGGAGCTGATAATACTCCATTTCTTGATTTGGAAGCTGGAGTTATGCTTGTATTTAGATGTGAAAATTTAGTGAGCAGCACACTTACACGAATTCATTATATATATTTGAGTAAAGTTTTTTAAAAAACAAATTGAGGAGAATGTAGATGAGCTGGACGTGGTAGCACGTGCTTGGAAGGTTGAGGCAGGAGGATCACCTCAAGTTTGAGGCCTGCCTGGGCTACCTAGTAATCTCAAGGCCATCCTGAATTACATAATGAGACTATCAAAAAAACAAAAGAGGAAGAGCAGGACGGGAGGAGGAAGAGGACGACGATGACGAATATGAATGATCAAAGGTGTGGTGAGAGGTGTGCTCTTTGATATCAGGTGAGCAGACTCAGCTTTTCTGAGGAGTTGACAGCTAAGCAGAGACAGCAAGTGAGCCAGCCAGATTATTTCAGCGAGCAAGAGGTCTTTGTGGGTGTTCCTTTGTCTTAGACTATGAGTTCCCTAAGGATAAAGGCCTGCTCTACCTCTGGAACTCCATGTCCACCTAGCATATTGCTCACCTACAAGTGGAATAATTATTTTTCTCTTTTTCATACTCCCGTGATTCCCAGGAATTTTTTCAGGTTTTTGGAGAATGTTTCTTTAGCATTTTGTTCTTTAATTTTCCTATTACCCTCTCATCATACTTTCTCATTTTGAAAAGAAGTAAAATATCAGGGAAAATTATAATACCCTGAAAAAGAAATAGAAGAGGATCTCAGAAAATGGAAATACATCCCTTGTTCATAGATAGGAAGGACAAACATTGTGAAAATGGCCATTCTCCCAAAACTGTTATACAGATTCAATGCAATCCCAATCAAAATACCATCAACATACCTCATAGACCTAGAGAAATCACTCCTAAAATTCATCTGGAACCAGAAGAGACCTAGAATAGCAAAGGCAATTCTAAGCAGCAAAGACAAAGCAGGAGGCATCACAATCCCTGACTTGAAGTTATACTACAAAGCTACTATAATAAAATCAACATGGTACTGGAATAAAAACAGATCTGAAGATCAGTGGAATAGGTTAGAAGATACAACCACAACTACAAACACACTCACTCACCTTATCTTTGATAAAGGGGCCAAACATGTTCACTGGAAGAACAACAGTTTCTTTAATAAATGGTGCTGGAAAACTAGCAAAATTTGCTGGCTCTCCATATGCCAAAAACTAAAACTAGATGTTGGGAGCCGCAGCCCCGAGCCCGGTCGCCTCACTTGGCGGACGTGAGGCCTGTGGTAAAGAGTAAAGCCTGAGGTAGATTACCCCTCCCATCGAGCACGTTAGTTTCCTGCTTACCGCGTAAGCAACCCGCTCAACAATATAGTCTGCCTGGCAACTGATGATGTTAGCCAATCAGCTTGCCTTGCTTACTTTAACATGATTGGACACTGTATCCGTATATATACTGGTGCCACCCCTGGGGGGGAAGAAGAAGCCCAGAAGTAAAAGCCCAAAAGGAGCCGCGGAGAGCGGACCGGTAGAGGCTTCGGAGCGAAGCCCGAAAGGAGCCGCGGAGAGCGGACCAGAGGAGGCTTCGGCTGGGAGCGATCCCAGGGCAGGCTGTACGGAGAAGGAAAATAAAAGAAAAGGTTGTCCACTGCCAGACTTTGTCGTGTGTCCTTCCTGCCGGCCGGGAGCGGACATCGACATTTGGTGGCCCGTACGGGGACTGATCACCCCCGAGACGTGACAGCGGACAACGCTCCAGTACAGAGCTGCGAGGCAGGTGAGTAGGGGATAAGCCTGGGCTCTGGGTGGCGCGCACCTACAGGGCTTTTAGACTCCCCTCAGGCTCACGCGTAAGTGGCGGATTCCTTGGGCCTCACGCGGTGAGTAACATATTAAAAGATGGGAAACATGCTAGGTAGCAACACTAAGAGCGAGGGTGGTTGTGGAGAAAGCTCTCAAGAGCTTACAAAGGTACGCAGGGTATTTGAGCAGGCCCAGTCAGGGAGCTCCCGAGAGGGGCCCGTTATATGTAGAGAGATAGGGGGGCCGCTCTCCAACTCGGGAGTGGCTGCTCTCCTGGCCGCGGCTGTACAGCAGAGGGGACCTCGCGGGTTAGAAGGGGAATGTAAGGCTAAAGGGTGTTTTGCCTGCGGGGAGCCAGGACACATTAAACGTCATTGCCCAAACAATGCAGATGCTAGGCCTCGCCCTAGGAATGAAGAACCATATGTTTGTGGGCGATGCAAGAGGGGATCACACAAAGCTGAGGAGTGTAGGTCGGTCTTTGATGCTCAGGGCAACCGTATTTGTGGACGAGATGCTAGAGGGCCAAAAAACGGCCAGAGGGGGCCCCCTTCACAGGCGGGCCCCCGCCCCAGAGACAGGACAGCTCAGGATGGCAGCCTTCAACAAGGGCCACCCCTGGGTCAGCAGGTGTGGACCTCAGTGTCGCCTCCAGACTTATATTAGTGCCTGATATGGGTGTTCAAGTGGTTGAAACCACCTTTAAGGGACCGTTACCCGAAAATTCCGTGGGTCTGGTGATCGGGAGATCCTCCACGGCCCTTCGGGGTCTCATAGTAGTCCCGGGGGTCATAGACTCAGACTACACAGGACACATTAAAATTATGGTTCAATCTCTTGTGGGTACTATGGTAATCAATAAAGGAGACAAGATAGCGCAGCTCTTGCTGCTCCCCAGTCTCCACAAGAGATTCCCCTCAAAGCAGAAAATTAAAAAAAGTCAAGGTTTCGGTTCCTCAGGGGAAGTCTTCGAGGGACTCCATATGACACTTGATAAAAGGCCCATGCTCTCACTTAAGGTCAATGGCAAGAATATAA